CAGGGGGGGTTCAGCACCAAGATGTGCCCTGCTCAGGGGTCAGAATGGCTGCATTTAACACCCTGCTAGGAGAACTAAGATGCGCCCAGATCTGGGGTGGAGGAGGGGAATGGCCGCATATAACAGCATAGAGACACCCTGCTTTGCCTTAAGATGTGGCCAGCTCTGGGGGGGGAACGGCCGCATAGAACAACCTGCTAGAGGAGTCCGATGCACCCACCTCTGGGGTGAATGCTACCTCTCCCCGCACCCTGATGACATACCGGCCTCAGGCGGGTGGTCCTTGGGAGGCGGTGGTGGTGGCGGTGGCGGTGGCAGCAGCTCGGGGGCCAGTGCAGGAGGTCGAGGGGCTGGTGCGGCCTTGTTGCCCATGTCCCCAGGGCTCTCATCCCCGGCGCAGGAGGAGGAGGACGAGGACGAGGAGGAGGAGGACGAGGAGCTGGTGTCCGAGTCCGAGGTGCTGGCGCTGTCCTCGTCCGACTCCTCATACAGCGAGTATTTGGAGGAGTCCTCGCTAGCCGCCTCATCTGGGGACAGAGGCAGAGAATCAGGGGCGGCTAGCTCTGGGGCGGGGCACGGCTGCATGTAACATAAGATTGAGATGCAGCCAGCTCTAAGGTGAAACAGCAACATATAATGTGAGACTGAGAAGCAGTCACCTCTGGGGTACAGCAAGGCCATATATAACAAGCTAAGATGCAGCCAGCTCTGGGGTGGGAATGGACACACATAACATGAACTGCAGGCAGCTCTGGGGTGCGGCAGGGTTGTATGGGAAACACAGAATACCGCCCCTGCTGAAGCTCTTACCATCCGATGACTCCTTGTCACTGCGCCCGGCATCTTCCTCCTCGGCTTGTGCCTCCTCCTCCTCCTCTTCTGCCTCGTCATCCTCCTCCTCCTGGGAGAGGAGTGGGGGTAAGTCAAGGCTCAAATCACCCGGGGGGGGGAGGGGGGGGAATGGGACACCCACCTTCTCAGAGGACGAGTCCTCGGAGGCCTCCTCACCCTCGCTGTCCAGGCAGAAGAGCTTGCGGCGCTTCCCAGGGCCCTTCACCCACTCCTCATCCCGCTTCGGGGCCTTGGCACCCCCCGGGCCTTCCTTGTCTGGGGGGGGTGAGAGGCAGGGGGGAGAAACCAGACACCCCCTGCTGCCCTGCTCCCACCCCCAGGGGACCTGAGAAACCAGACATTCCCTGCTGCCCTGCTCCCACCCCCAGGGGACCCCAGCATCCGTGCCAGCTCACCATCGTCATCGTCCTCGGCCGGCGTGGAGGGCCGCGGGCGTTTCTCTTCGCTGTTCTCTGAGATCTCCGAGGGCTCTTTCCTCTTCACCTGCAGTGGGGGAGGAGGGGTGAGGGCAGGCAGCCCCTCCCCCACAGGGGCAGCCCCACCACGCACTCTCTCCCCTGGGCCAGGATTGCGGCCTTCTGGGGAACCAAGAGCCTGGCATGGAGATGCAGCCAGCTCTGGGTGGGACAGCTAGATAACAGCTGCATGTAACACTCCAGGCAGGATGGGATGTGGCCAGACCTGGGGTGGAACAACTGAGGTACAGCTCCACATAATGCTGTGTAGGGAGATGGAGATGCAGCCAGCTCTGGGGTGGAGCAACTAGGTAGCAGCTCCATAGAACACTATATAGGACCAGGATGCAGCCAGCTCTGGGAGGTATCAACTGAAGTACAGCCATATAGAACTCTGCATAGGGAGGGCTGAGATGCATCCATTTCTGGAGTGGGGTGATTAAATAACCAGCAGCACAGAACACCCTATAGGGAGGCTGGGATGCAGCCAGCTCTGGGGTGGGGAACGGCTACACATAACACTGAATGGGGATGGCCAAGATGCAGTCAGCACTGGGGTGAAACAACGGAGGAACAGCTGTATACAACGCTGTGGGCAGAGCCGAGACGTGGCTGGCTCTGGGTGGGGAGCAGATGCACACAAAACAGCCTGGACAAAGCTGGCACGTGGCTGGCTCTCGGGTGGAACAGCGACATGCAACACAAACTGGACAAGGCCAAGATGCGGCTCGCTCTGGGGCAGAACGGCTGCCCGTAACAGGCCGGTACCTTAAAGGAGGGCAGGCGCAGGGCGCCGCGCAGGCCAGCCCCAAACCCAAAGGCCTCGATGCCCACGGTACCACCACTCTTGGCCCAGTCGACGAGGGACAGCAGCCCCGGCTCACGCAGCTTGGCCTTCTCCTTCTCCTCCTCCTTGGCCGCCTGCTTGGCCGCTGTCTGGAAGGGCTGGGGGAGGGGAGAAGGGACATTGCTGCAGGTCCCAGGTGTCTGGGCCCCCTACTCCCCAGCCCCAGCGTCCAGGCACCCATTCCCCATCTGAGACCCCCGGCACCCTGGCTGCAATCTCCCCCACCAATGCCAGCCTAGAAGCCGGGCATCCGAGGTGCACTTCCCACAAGCCAGGAACCCAGGCCTCCGGCGCGGCCTCACCTTGGCCTTCTGCTCCTTGCGTTCCCACCACTTGTCGAAGGTGCTGAAGGCCACATTCTCTACCATCTTGCGGTTGAGGTCGCGCTGCATGGTGCTCTTCATCTCCTGGATGAGGGCGGCCAGCACGCTCTCCACCGTGGCGGCATGGGGGGCGCGGGGGGCAGCCCCCCAGGCAGGCGGTGCGGGCAGCGGTGTGGGTTCTGTGCCCGGTGGGCACTCATCACCCAGCTCAGCCGCAGCAAAGCTGTAGTGCCGCCCAGTGCCGCTGTAGGCTGGGGCATAGCAGGTGGTGTCCCAGGCACCGGGCCAGACAGGTGCAGGGGCTGCCTCTGCCTCGTAGGGCGTCTTGGCCTGGCGCAGCTGGCGCAGGCGGCTCAGTACATGAGTCTGCATCTGGAAGGACATGGGCACACCGCCCCATTGCGCCCCCAGTCGGCTCATCAGCTCCAGGGAGTTGGCGTAGTCATAGCTACCCGTGTAGTCCGCCACTCCATAGTCAGCGTCGGTGCCTGCTAAATGGGGCAGGGACACGGACATGAGGGGTTGCAGGGGGTAAGTGGGCGGTGGCGGGGGTGGCTCCGGGGGCCGGGGGGCACCGAAGGCCGAAATGCCCAGGGGCACGTGTGCCAGGCCAGGGAACGGCGGGTCCAGGGGGGCGGGTGCCGTGTCCTCTGCCTCATCTTCCGAGATCTCCATGTCCTCGCCTGATGAGCGCGGTGAGGCCTGGCAAGAGAGGTGCACCCATTAGATACCTAGGCACCCGGGCTCCCGCCACCCCCCCCCAAGAACCCAGGTATCCTCACCCCATCTTGCCCGTTGGCCTTGGGCGAGTCTCCGGGCCCATCAGGCGCCACGTCTTCGAAGCTGCCAGGGGGAGGAGGGGGCGGTGTGCAGGGCCCATGAGGCTCAGGTGCCACCGCTGTGCTGGGCAGGGCGCCCCCTGCTGCTGCCACTGCTGTCCCCACCGTGCCCACTGCCACTGCCACTGCCCCCTCCTCATCCTCAGCATCGCAGGCCAAGAAGGAGAACTTGGAGCGCTGCTCCTTGAGCAGCGCCTCAATGCGTGAGTCCAGGCTGCTGTGCTGGGTGAAGGGCACACTTTCTGGTGTGTCCTCAGGCGCTGGCGAGCCTGGGCGGGCAGGTGAGGCAGTGGGAGGCTCCTCAGCCCCTGGTGGGGGTGGCGGTGGTGGG